GGTGGTAGATTTGGTCTGGGTGGGGGGGTGGCTGCCAGAAGATGGGGCCGACGTTTGCCAGGCCTGGCGACAGACACTGCTGGTTCGTGTTCCCGTTCTGGTGAGGGTCTCAGCCTCAGGGAGGGAAGGCCGGCGGCTTTCTGGACGGCTGTAACAGAAGGCAAAAGACCCGAGAAAGCCGTTCTCCGTCTAGCATTCTCCAGCAAAATCCCCTCACCCACCAGGAGACTCACCCTGGCTAGCCGCGGTGACCGAGCACCGTTGTCCACTTTCTTTGCAAACCGTGCTCAAGCGACAGGAAAGGGAGTCAGGTGTGCGCGTGCGCTGGGCCCCAGCAGGTGCTAACTGACGCGGCGGTGCCTGCAGGGGGCGCCGGGAGGGGCGCCAGCGGAGGGGAGCGGGGGCCCCCACCTCAGTGTCGCCCCAGCGGAGGTGGAGTGCAGGGCCCAGAAGCTGAGCCAGAGGCCAGCTCGCTGTGCGCGGGCCATTCTGCACCCGGGATGAGGGGCGAGGGCGGAGGACGCTCCCTCCCGGCCAGCGTAGCCCATGCGTCCCCAGGAAGCAGGAGGAGCTGGTGCAGCAGGTGCGCAAGCGGCTGGAGGAGGCGCTGATGGCCGACATGCTGGCCCACGTAGAGGAGCTGGCCCGGGACGGCGAGGCGCCGCTGGACAAGCCCGGCGCCGACGAGGACGAGGACGAGGATGAGGACGAGGACGAGCCCGACCAGGACCAGGAGATGGAGCACGTCTAAAGCAGGTGCTGGCTGGCCGGGTGGGTCCCAGGCCACAGCTGGTGCTTAGATGGTGACCGTGGGGACAAGGGCTATGCCCTGTGCAGGGCGGCAGCTGTGCTGGTCCCCCGGAGGGCAGCTCCCAGTCAGGGCGCTGATGGCGCCCTCTCCCTGTCTTTCCAGAGGCCCTGTGGAGCCCTGCCCGCAGGGAGCCTCCTGCAGACTCCGCCTTCTCCACGCTCGGACCACGCTCTGTGGCCCGGCCCAGGACGATGGCGGCCCCTCCTAGGCCCTCCCAGGTGTGTCCCCTCCCCTGGGCCCACGGGGGCACGGCTGGAGGGCAGCCCCTGCCTGACGGGCCCCCCACGTTGGCTCTTCTCTGAAGGGCCTGGGTCCGGAAGTGTCCGCCGGCCCCGGGCCCGCCTGCAGGAGGCCCCCCTCGGCACTGTCACTCCACCTGGACTCGGGGCCGGCCTCGTCCCCACGGCCGCATCACACAAGACGGCTGCCACCAGGCGGCCTGCGAGGGTCCCCAAGGGGCTGGAGAAACAGTTTTTGGAACAGTCCCACCTCCCGATCCCCGCGTGTGAGGGACGCCGTTCCGGGGTCCGCACGTCAGTCCTCCAAGGAGGGGGTGCCCACCAGCGGGCGAAGCCGCCACGGCTCGGAGCTCATCTGGAGGCAGACGGCACAACCCAGACGTTGTCCTTCAATAAATCCGTGACACAAACGAGGCCGGACGTCCACATAACTGCTTAGCCTTTGTGTTTGCTGCACGTGGATGCGAACTCTCGCCTTTGTGTTGGGAAACCTCCCTGTCCACAGCGCGGCCGACCCGGCCTGAGGGTCAGCCAGCCACCGGCGACGGCGAACTGCTCACGGCCGACTCACCGGGCCGGGGCTCCAAGGCAGCTGGGCCGTCGGCCGGCCTCCCTTCCCCGCCCCGTGTAGCGGGGACGGGGACGCCCAGCGCCCGGGGCCAGAGCTGGTCCTGGGCCGCGGCTCCTCTGAGGTCCCATCTTGGGGTGCGTTCTGTGGCCCGGCGTTTCCAAGCACCCGGCCTCTGGGGAGCTCTGGGCGCAGGGGCGTTGGAATCGTGGTCCTTCATCCCTGCCCCCTCCTGGCCTGAGTGCCTTGGGTGAGGGGCGCCCTCCTGTCCCCGCTCGGCCCTGGCCCGCAGCCGGAGACCGTCGGGAAAGACCTGGGTCGCTGCCTGTGTGGCTGTCACTCCGGCTGATGCACAGGGTGGGGGCGATGGCGGGAGCCACCTGCTCGTCCGAGGACGCTCGCTGGCCCGGCACGGCACGTTGGCAGCGTCCTTCCAGTCAAAGCACAAATCCCCCAGAACCACCCACGAAGGCCGTCTGAGTGCGCGTGGCCGGCGTGCTGGGGGGGCCGGGCCACCACAGGCCTCGGGGAGGCCTCTCCGCTGAGGCCACACGTCGTCCTGCCCTTCACGGAGGCCGCAGCCGCTGAGGGAGCTCCGTGTGGGGCTGGCCCCTGTGTGGGCCTGAGGTCCAGGTGCCCGGAGCCCTGCCCAGCGGAAGGGACTGCGGGGCCCGGGAGGCACCCTGTCCCGTGGGCGACCGTTGAATAAAGCCATCTCGGTGAGTGTGGTTTGGAGCGTTGCCTTAATTCTGAAGACCCAGAGCCTTTGTGTCCAGGGGAGATGGACCCCCGCCCGGGCCTTTGGTGCCTAGTGTCCTACTTGTCACCTTAGCGTGGGCTGGGTGATGGAAGGGGACCCAGGGGACCAACTGGCCTTTCCCAGGGAGGGTGGGGTTCAGCTCCCAGCACCTGTAGTGAAAGAGCCAGTTTGGCCAAGGTTTCCAGAAGATGTGGAGCCCCCAGGGCCCCCTGCTGCCCGGACTGGAGGCCCCCACGTGCGCTCCGTCCCAGCTGTGCATTGTGGGGGTCCTGTGCCAGGAGCTCAGGCGGGGAGCCCCCCCGGGGCCAGCACTGGCGAGATGATTGGGAAGGGGGCCCGCATGACAGCGCCCCTACCGTCCCTGGCGCCCGGCCACCACCTGCCCTGCCTGGGGCCCCCTCTACTCCACGCCCCTGCCACACGGTCGCTCCACAGGCTTGGGCTCTACCCTGCAGTGAGCGCCGCCCTCCTGGAGGGGGCCCAGCTCCCAGAGGGGAAACAGGCTCAGGGTAGCAACTTGCCTGGGGCCGCCAGCTGGAGAGGTCCAGCCTGGCTGAGAACTTGGGTCTCCCCGACTCCAGGCCCACAGAGGCCCTGAGGGGCCGCGAATCTCGGGACCTCAGAAGCTAGGACAGGGTCCAGCGTCCCAGCCCCACAGTAGGGCCCTCCAGCCCCCAGAGCCCATCCTGACCCTGAGCTGGGGTCCCCCACGAATCCTCTCCTCTCCCTAGAGGGACCCCTGGCGGCAAGGGCCGAGGAGGGGGCTCCCAGGCAGCCAGGTCACCCGGTGCGCCCAGCTCCAACATCTCCCAACGCCACCTGCTGGGTGCCAGGGTTTCAGCACCATCAGCTCTGATGTCCACACCACAGACCAGAACCACCCCCATGTCTCCACCCGGTGCCCAGCTGCCCCCACTCCAAGGCAGGCACAGAGCTTTCTGAACCATGCTGCACCCCACCCCGCACAACAGTCCTGGGACACCTCCTCATCTGTGCGAGCCTCCCGCGGCCGCTGCGACAGGTCACGGCCAACTTGGCCACTTAAAACCACACGATTGATTCTCTGACAGTTTGGGTTCAGAAGTCCTCAAACCCCGGCGCAGGCAGGGCTGGTCCCCCTGGGGCCCCCGGGAGACCCAGCTCCAGCCTTTTCCTGGCCCGCGGCCCCCCCTCCATCCTCATCGCCAGCAGCGCGGGGTCTGCCCATCTCCGGGACTCCCACCCTCTGCCTCCCCCTCGTGAGGGCCTCCTGAGGACGCCGGGCCCCCCAGGAACCCAGGGTCACCCCCTCCTTGGGGGCCCTGACAGGGTCCCCTCTGCCGTGTGAGGGGACATGTCCACAGGTCTTCCCAGGACAGGGATGTCTTTGGGGGACTTAGTTGTCAGACCATATTACCCCGAAGATAAGATTCCTTATCTCTTTGGGCAGCCCGCATCCTTGACCATCTCTTCCTTCCTTCGAAGCTCACTCCAGCCCCCTGGTCTTCGTCCATGTTGTCCCTCAAGGGGAATGAGCAGTTGCTACAGAAGCCCAGGAACGGGTCGAGCTCAGGATCCACCAAGTTTGAGGAGGAAGGGACCCTAAGGGTGACCTAAGGCAGTGACGCGAACAGAACAAGTTGGGAGATGACTGATCGAGACCTGGCCGGGTGGGCTGGAGCGGAGGGACCAGCTTGCTCAGATTTCTAGAATAGTCCAGCGGGATGGCCACCAGCCACATACGGCGATACGAGTTTCAATAGGTTACAACTAATTAAACATCCCATTCCTCGCACCCAGGCCTGGTGGCTACTAAAGCGGACTCAGCACATGGAGAACGTTCCATCATCTGGAAAGTTCTATTGCCCAGTACCGTTCTAGAACAGGGACTCTCAGCCTTGCTGGGGGGGGATGCTCAGACGCTGCTGTAAGATCAGGTAAGGCTTGGTCCAGATTCAGGCACTTAAAACGTGGAAATAACCCCAGGGTCTATCAACAAACAAACGGAAATGGCGCGGACAGGAGCAAGGTGCGGACGTGCGCTGCACTGGGGACGGATCCTGAGCCCAGGACGTCCGGGGAGGGAACCGGACACACAAGGCTACTGTGGGTTTTTTGTTCCAATGTGATGTTAATTTTATGCCGAGGGACACCCAGACAGCTGGTAAACGTGAGTTCTGGGGGTGCCCGGGCTGTGTCCGGAAGAGATGAGCATTTCTTCAGCGGACGGAGTGAAGATCTCGTCCTGTCCACAGGGACACCATTCACCAGGGGCCCGAACGCGACGCCGGGTGGAGGAAAGGCGAACTGCTCTCCTGTCCCAGAGCTGAGCCGACCGTGCTCCTGGACTGAGTCATGCCCTGGGCCTTCCTGGTTCTGCGGCTTGGCTCCCTAAGCATGGGACCCAGTCCCCTTGTCTCCCCTTGGAGATCTCTCCTTAGATCCTACTGGTCCTGTTTCTCTGGGGAGCCCTCACACAGCCAGAGTGCGAACCCATGGACGTGAAAGGTCAGGAGAGGTCAATCCACAGAGACAAAGTGGGTTTGCGGGCGCTGGGGGCTCCAGGGCTGGGGGGGTTGCTGCCCATGGGATGGGGTGTCTTGTTTGGGTAACGATAATGTTCTAAGACCAACAGTCGTGATGATCGCACAAATTCTCAAATTTACTAAAAACCATTCAACGGTCTACTTTAAAAGACCAAACGTTGATGCACACGAATTCTCTCTCAGTTTTAACAGTAAGAAAATTTCAGGGTCTTAGGGAACCTGAAGTGTGTGCAGAGATCCCATTCCTCGGACAGTTGGGAAGGAGCCTGAGGGTCCCCCAGATGGCTGTGGGGAGAGCAGGTGGCCCGCAGTGTGGACGTGCAGCTGCCTGGCCAGGAATCTTTAAAAAAAAAAAAAAAAAAAAGACAAACATTAACTTAGGCTGAGTTCGAGAAACGTGCCACGGGGAGACAGCGCAAAGCAAGTCCGTTAACGTGAAACTGCAGAAGAGGCAAAGATGCTCCCAGCGGCCGGCGGCGTGGGGCGGCCCAACAGCAAGGGGCGGACACAGCTTTCCGGGGTGTCGACCTGGGCAAGCAGAGCTGATCAGTCAGTCGGACAGTAAAAACAGGTGTGTTTTCTGAAACTAATAGAACACTGTCTGTTAGCTAACTGGAATTCAAATCAACACTTGGGGAGGGGGGAAAGCTGTGTTTTCGTTGCGTGTAAACTGTCTCAACAGCATCTGATTTGCAAAGTTTAACTTGCATCCGCCCCCAAACTGCCCCCAGCACACATTCTGATAAGCGACAAGGCGGAAAATAGAAACTGTCCAGGGAAGACGGTTCTGTGGTTTTATATTATTCTTTGGCCATTTTTTCCCCTTGACTATTTCTTATTCTTTCAAAATGTGCCCACGGAGGAGGAGGGCGCCGCTGCCCCCCCAGCTCGGGCAGCGCTGAGCACACACCCGGGCTCCCCCCGCGGGCGCCCCTGGAGCCCCACCACAGCGTTTCTGCTATTACAGCATTTCCCCAACGTTTGAAGAACTGTTCAAAAAAAAAAAAAAAAAGTTAAAAACAAAGAGGTGAACTATCACTAAAATCCTCCTGAGGGAAAATAACCATGCCCAGCCTCATGCAACCCAGAGCAGACCCTCTTTTGCTGGTTTTGTTGGTTTCTTTTGGCATTTTCCTTCATGCTGCTTTTTATCCTTCTTGCTCCCCAGCCGCCGGCCCCCACAAGCCCCCTTCCCGTCCGCGGATGAGCCTGTTCTGGACGTGTCACCCACATGGACTCACACCCCGTGTGGCTGTCTGTGTCTGGGTCCCTCCCTGAGCATCATGGGCTCGGAGTCTGTCCCCGGGGCCGTGCATATGGGCGCCTCGCTCCTGCCTGCGGCCCAGTGATGCTCTGGCGCGTGGGGGACCGTGTGAGTATCCGTGGACCCACAGATGGACGCCTGGGTCGTCTACACGTTCAGGCTTCGGTGAACACGGGGCTGTGTCTGCTTCAGTCCATTTTCAGTTCTCTGGGTTCACGGCAGGTGGGGCTGCTGGGGCTGTTCCTGGCACCCCTGCCTCCCAGGGGTTTGTCACCAGCCCCCCCAGCCCCCGGGCAGCTCCAGCAGGGGTCCCGTCACGAGTTCCCTCACGTTCCCAAGCACCTCCTGCAGGTCAAAGTAGAGAGAAGGGAAAGCCGACTTCCGGGGCCCACCCCACCTCGTGGGACTTTCATGCTGTTTTCATTTACAGACATCTCCAAATGCATCTCTCAAAGGACAGTTTTTAAAACTTAAAAATACTTTTTGTTTTTTTTTTTATCATGGAAGGTTCTGAAATGCAGCAAACAGACAAGTGCAGCCCAGGTGCCGCCACCCGGCCTCGGGAAGGCCGCTCAGGGCCCACACCACCTCCCAGCACCGTCCCCTGCCTCCACGTTATCCCAGCACTCTACCAGAGGGATCTCCGATGCAGAGCAGAGTCGGCCAGATCAGACAATGACCATCGTCTGCGAACCACCTGCACCAGCCACACACGGGTTGGCATGGAAGGGTAAGCGGTTCTCAGCACCCAGGGACTCTGTCCGAGGACAGTTTTGGTCGTCCTGCCTGGGGAGGTATTGTGGGTTGCACTGTGTCTCCCCAGAAAAGACTGTCCATGTCCCAACCCCTCAACCTGGGAATGGGAGCTTACTTGGAAATAGGGTCTTGGCAGATGTGATTAGTTAAGATGAGGTCACACTGGAGTAGGGCGGTCCTGAACCCTCATGAGATAAAAGATGTGGATGCAGACGCACAGGGAGAAGCTGCATGATCGCGGACGCACATCAGGGCGATGTGCCCACAGCCAAGGGACGCCAAGGATGGCCAGCCACGCAGGAGCTGGGAGAGGCAGGAAGGACCCTCCCTGGAGTCTTCAGAGAGCCAACGGTCCAGCCATACCTTGACCTAGGACTTTTGGGCCCCAGGACTTGGAGAGAATACATTGGTGTTCAAAGCCACCCAGTTTGTGGTAATTGGCTAAGACCACAGAAAAGTGCAGGGGTGGGGTGCTGGTGGCTCCGGGAATCACATAGTGGGGGCCAGGGATGCAGCCAGACACACACAGTGCCCAGCACGGCCCCCACCAGGCTGGCCACCCACCTTTTACCTGCGGCATCGTCCACCTCTGCCCATCCCTCACTCCATCCTGTTTCTGGCGTGCTTCCAACCACACCACGGACACCACCTTCTGCCTCCCAAATACGTCAGTGTGCAAACTGCTCATCGGCCACTGGTTTACAGATCTTTTTAGTTTTTTCAAAAGATTTTATTTTTGGGGGGCGCCTGGGTGGCTCAGTCATTAAGCGTCTGCCTTCGGCTCAGGTCATGGTCCCAGGGTCCTGGGATCGAGCCCCGCATCGGGCTCCCTGCTCCGCGGGAAGCCTGCTTCTCCCTCTCCCACTCCCCCTGCTTGTGTTCCCTCTCTCACTGTGTCTCTCTCTGTCAAATAAATAAGTAAAATCTTAAAAAAAAAAACACACACAAAAACTGTGGTCCTGGGGCGCCTGGGTGGCTCAGTCATTAAGCGTCTGCCTTCCGCTAAGGTCATGATCCCAGGGTCCTGGGATCGAGTCCCACATCGGGCTCCCTGCTCTGCGGGGAGCCTGCTTCTCCCTCTCCCACTCCCTCTGCTTGTGTTTCCTCTCTCGCTGTGTCTCTCTCTGTCAAATAAATAAATAAAATCTTTTAAAAAAAAAAGATTTTATTTATTTGACAGAGAGAGGGAACACAAGCAGGGGGAGCTGCAGCAGAGGGAGAGGGAGAAGCAGGACCTGGGATCATGATCTGAGCCGAAGGCAGTCACTTCACCGACTGAGCCACCCAGGCTCCCTAAAGTGCGCCACCACAGGGCCATTCCTGCCCAATCCCTACAGACACCCAACAGGCTAGCATGTGCACATCCTAACTCGTAGAGCCCCGGTTCCCCTCTCTCTTCTGACTCCTAATCTGCTTGTTGTCAAACAGCCTCCTTTTGGAATTGGCAGTAGTCTTGGCTCCTCATGGCTGGCTGGCCACGGCCAAAGGCTCACCGGTCCCCCAGCCGCACCCTCCAGACCCCCTGCACACAGCTCGGCACCATCCCAGTCCACTCGCCTCCCCGGGCCAGCACCTGTGTGCTGTGTCCTCCCTCGTCTTGCTGGGGAGCATCCTGCAGGACGCTGAGCTGATTGGTGAAGACCTCGCTGGCCTGAAACATCTTGATTCTTCCTCCCACTCGACTCAGACCTTGGGGTCAGCCATCCCTTTCCCCTGGAACCCAGGCCTTCTTTTTCCTGATCGTTCGGAATATGGCCTGGAAGCACTCGGGAGTCCCAGCTCCACAAACTTGTCTTCCCAGGACAAGCTGCGGGCTCCTGGCTACCCCCTACTATGATTTCTTGGACAACTTCCCTCCATTTCCCCTCTGCTCTCTCTGGGATTCTTAAACTGTTCCTCTGTTTTTTCTCCCTCCTCTCCCAGTTCTCACTTGTCTTTTTGCCTGACTTTCTAGATTTCTCCAACTTGAGTCTTCCAACTTCCTGCTGAAGTTTTAATGCCGGCTACCGTGCTAACTCCCAAGCCCTGTCTCGTTCTGTCTTCCTCCGTCACCTTCCCATTGGCAGTGTGAGCAGAGCCTGCATGGCCCCCAGGAACGCTGGTGTCTCCAGGGGGCGGCCGGCAGCTGGGGGCAGGGTCCCCCAGGCCACTCTGTCCTTGTTTCTCCTCCATCGGCGGATGCTGCCTCCCCTCCCAAGACCTCCAGAGGGAGGGACATGTGTATGGGGCCTGGGAGCAGAAAGGCACCCAGCTCATCTGAAGACCTCTCCACGGCGACTGATGGGGTCAGGGGGTGCTTTGAGGAACACATATATGTGGCTGCATGACCTCCAGAAGCGCATCCCGGAGCAGACCATGCTATGTCACCACCAAATTATTTTCCCTTCACCCGGCTCGGATGCCCTATCCTCCAGTTTTGACTTCTCCCTACCCCAGTTCCCTCCTGAGCCCCCTTCTCAGCGCTTACCCCCTGCTCCCTTTTGTTTCTCCCTCTCCTTCCTCCAGCTCACCCAAAGGGCAGCCCACCTGCCTCCGCCCTGGCTGGGGCCCCAGGAAGGGGGATCAGCATGCACCAAGGCCTGGCCCTGACAAAAGGCAGTGATGGTGAGTGCTGGGGGGTGGTGCGAAGGGGGGACCTGAGGCTGGCCAGCTGGGCCTGGAGCACCAGTGGACATTTCTGTGGGGGAGATGGGGACAAGGCCTGTGGCCGGGTAACAAGGAGGGTGTGCTGGGATGTGTCCAGAAAGCACAGCGGATCTGCAGGTCCCTCCAGGTCCTCTGGGAACTTGGTCCCATGGGGAGGGGACAAGACATAAGTTATTATGAAGTAATTAAGACTCACAAGTGTTCAAGTGCACAAAAGAGAAGTCTGGGACCCTGAGAGAGGATCTTGGGCTGGATGTGACTTGGGGGCTCAGGAAAGACATTTTAGGCAGCGGCAACAAGGCAGGGAGGCGGGAGGGCCCTAATCAGAGGCATCTGTCAGGGCAGTCTGAGCGGGTGGGGAAAACTCACAGGAGGCTCAGGCGCCACATGGGGCAGGGGATGGGGTTCCCCGGTCAGGGCGAGAGGGGCTGGCAGGCAGAAGGGGCAGGCCGCTCACACTCCCACCTAGGCAGCTGGCGTCCTCCGCCCCAGGTCCCCCAGCCAGTAAGGAACCCGGGCCGGGGTCCGCTGGGAGACAGGGGCAGACGCACCGGCTGAGGTCCAGCCTGCTCCCAGCCCATGGATCGTGTGAGCGCTCCTTCCCCCACCGTGGAGAACAGAAGACCCCGAACGGCAGCTGCAGGGAGGGCCGCGGGGGCAGGGTGGCTCTGGAGGTGAAGACGCAGGGCAGGGCGCCCGGCGCCCCGGGACCAACAGGGTCCTCTGGCCGGCGGAAACCAGCCCAAGCCGGGAAGCTCCTCCGCCCACGTGGCCGAAGCTCGGGCTCGGGCAGCCCCCACCCAGGGCGCCCACCCGGGGCCGGGCGCGCGCGGGCCCGGGCCGCGGGAGGGTCCGCGAGCGGAGGGCTGGGGGCGCGGCGCCGGGGGCCCCCGCGGGCACCTACCTGCGGCCGCGCCCGCGCCCCGCGTCCCGCCACGTGACCGCGCCCCGCCCCGCGCGCGCGTGCGCCCTGCCTGCGCCCCATTGTTGGCCGCGCGCGCGTCACGGGGCGGGGCGGGGCGGGGCGGCCGGAGGAGGGCGGCGGGCGGGCGGGAGGGAAGCAGCGTCCGCGCCGCCGCCGCCGCCGCCGCCGAGCCCCCGCCGCCGAGGAGCAAGCAGAGTCGCGCCGCCGCCCCGCCGCCCGCGGCCCGAGCAGCCCCGCGCCGCCGCCCCGCCCCGCCGCGCCCGCCCCGCCGCTGGATGCCGGCGGCCGGCGGCCCAGCTCTCAGAGGCGGAGCGCGGCGGCGCGGGCGGCGGCGGCGGCGGCGCGGGCGGCCGGCGGCCGAGAGGCGGGGGCGCGGGCCCGAGCGCTAGCGCCGCCATGCCCGGTTCCACCGGCCAGCCCGACGGCGGCGGCGGCGACCCCAGCCCGCGGCCCCCGCCCCCGCCGCCTCCGCCGCCCCCGCCGCCCCTGCCCGAGGGCGCGGAGGAGGAGGCCGCGCCCGACGACGCGGCCGCCGCCGCCGCGCTGCGCCTGGCGCTGGACCAGCTCTCGGGGCTGGGGCTGGGGGGCGCGGGCGGCCCGGACGAGGAGGGGGCGGCCGCGGGCGGCGGGGACGGCGCGGCGGCGGTGGCGGCGGGCGGCGCGGACGGCGGGGCGGCGGCGGAGCCCGCGCCCCCCGACGGGCCGGAGGCGGGCGCGCCCGCGGTGGCCGAGGCCGTGGCGCCGGCCTCGCTGGCGCTGCTGGAGCCCGACGTGAGCCCGCCGCCGCCGCCGCCTCCCCGGCAGTCGCCGCCCGACGTGTTCGCCGGCTTCGCGCCCCACCCCGCGGCCCTGGGCCCCCCGACGCTGCTGGCCGAGCAGATGAGCGTGATCGGCAGCCGCAAGAAGAGTGTGAACATGACCGAGTGCGTGCCCGTGCCCAGCTCCGAGCACGTCGCCGAGATCGTGGGTCGCCAGGGTGAGTGGCCGCCGTCTGGGGCGCTACTCCCGGGGTCCCCGCGTCGCGCGCCCTGGGGAGGGGGCCGCCCCAGCCCAGCTCGAGGCCGGACGCCAGATCCTGGCCACGCCCCGCGTGGGCCCCGGCCTCGGTGGCCGCCTGTGCGCCTTTGTCCTGCCGCGGGCCGCGCGAGAAAGTTGGGCGCAGCCCGCGCTCCTCCCCTCCACGCTCAGGCCCGCCGCTGCCTTTGTCTGGGCGCCTCCAGCCGGGTCAAGCCCCTCTGTGCGGCGCCTCTGCCCAGGCCCTGGGCCACCTGCTGTGGCATCCCGAGAACCAGGGGGCAGGGCTGGGCGGTGGGCGATCGACACCCGAAGCAGACACGGGGCGGGGCTCGCTGAGGCTTGGGGGTGGCTCGGGGGCGGGGCAGGGGGGCTCAGGCAGGGTCAAGAGAGAAGTTTGGCGTACAAAGAGGGTGCATATCTCCACTTGTCAGCCTGGGGGCCCTACTGGGGTTGGGGGGAGCACAGGATGAGAGAGGATCCCCACCCCGCTCTCAGCCCCGAGTCGGGGATTTGGGGACATGCTTAAGGACCAGCTGTAAAAGCCCTCCTGAGGTCCAAGCTCCTAGCCTCCCCCCAGCAGGCCCGGGCTGTGGGGGTCCGGCAGCAGCTTTGTCAGAGTCCCTGTGGCCGCCCCATTGTTCTCTTTGTTAGAGAGCCAGTCTGAGATTTGCAGGGTGACATCAGGCCGGCCGCAGCTCATTGGCCCTGGAGCTGGAGCTGCAGGGCGGGCAGGCAGGAGGGTGGTGGGCAGTGCTCCTCCGGACACACGCCCACCTACCCTTTTAGCCAGCTGCCCCCAGCCCCAACTTTCCCCTGCCTTCTGCCTGCCCCTCCCTGTTCTCCACTCCGTGCTTGAGGCCAGGTTCTAGAACTTGGGGTGGGGTCTGGGCGGGGCTTGAGGTGGAGCTGCAGGACACTCAGGCTGGCCTTTGGGGACTCAGTAACAGGAGCCAGAGATGGGGGGGGGCTTGGACTGCAAGGTGACTTGTCATCTTTGCCACCTTGCGGCCGGGGGTGTGTGCAGAGGACCACAGGGATGCTCCAGACACTGCCCTCTCAGAGTTTTGGGCAGGAGGGGTGGTTTGGCCAGTGAGTCCTCTGGCTTTGGGTGCAGGTGCAGCCGATCACGTGTCCTCCCCCCATCTGGACACCGGGAGGGCCAGGTGTAGTGCTGGGCTGAGGGCCCAGGAGTTGGGACCAGGGGAGGGGGGACAGGTGGTCCTCTGAGCCCTGTCTGCTGCCTCCCACGAGCAGGCATAGCAGGACTCCAGGCCTGACCGGTCTCCTCCACCTGCCACAGCCCCTTACCTGCCCCAGTGGCCCGCACCTGCATTGGGACGTATAACAGGACCACTGCTGTGTGCGTAGCGTGCAGACGCCAGCCCAGGGCAGGGGGACAGCCGTGGAAACGCAGCCTGGGGGCTGTTGTCCAGAGGCACTAGGCTGATCTGCCGGCTGGCGGAGTGCGGAGCAGGAGGGCGTGTTCCCTGTGCGTATTCTGACAGCCGCGGGTCCTTCAGAGAGGCTGAGTCCAGCCCACTGGTGGCAGGAGCCAAGCAGAGGGTATCTGGTTGTGGAGGAGCAGGCTTGGGGGGGTCAGCCCCCACCCCGACCTCCTGGGGGTGCTTTTTTGGGTGCCAGCCTGGGGTCTTGCTGGTGGTAGACAGGAAGGCAGGCTGTGGGGGGTGCAGACGGGGCTGGCCCTGTGACCCTGGGCAAATGAGATCTCCTTTCTGTGATGGGGGCACAGCACCTCCCTCGGGCGCTTTTGTGAGGATTCTCCAGCAAGAGGGATCTAATCCCAGCCCCGGGCTGGTGCACAGTAGCACCCTGTAAGTGGGTGCGGGGTCCTGGGGAGGGAAGCATGAACGCCAGGACAGGTTGGCCCTTTTGGCAGCCCTTGACTCTCAGCTCTAGGACCATCTGTGGCGCCCATCTTCTCCCACCCAGGTGTTAAGCTCAGCCTGGAAAACTCTTTGTGCCCCAGTCCTGACCCCTCCCTTCCTCCGGTCACTCGTCCAGTCTCCCACCTTGGGGGTTCCTGGACACCAAGCCTGTCCCTTCTAAGCGTCCTGGCTCTCACCGGGGCAGAAGGCACAGCTTGTTGTGAACTCCTCTGTCAAACCCTAGGTCCAGGGCCACTCCATGCCCTAGAGGGCAGGCCAGAGTCCCCCAGACCTGGGGTCTACCCTTTCCCCGATGCTTGCTCGCTCGCTGTTCTCTGAGCTGGTTTTTCCATCCTCGAATGGGTCCCTACACCGCCTGGGCACAGGATAGGTGATTACAACCTCTGGGAGTTCTCTCTCCTCCCTGAGGCTGAGTGGCGGGGAAGGTGCCCTGCATGGGAGCCTCAGAAGATCCCTCAGGGAAGGTCGTCTGTAGCTTCTGGTCACAGGAGGCAGGGACATGGCCAGAACTGGGTCGGCAGGGCTGGGGTTTGAACCTCAGTCCCTCTGGCTCTGTGTGCGCGCTGCAGGGAACAGAGGTGGCTCAGGAGAGGACTTCCTACCTTCCAAAGCTCCAGGATTGGGGAGTTGGCCCCACTTTACAGACAGGAAAAGTGGAGACTCCGAAAAGTGTCCGCCAAGGTCACCTGGGAGGCTGGTGCCCACTTGCCCTGGGTGTGACCTTGGGCCCGGTCCTCCTGAGTCTCCCGTTAGCGTGCACCCTTGCTGGGGGTGTCCGTGTGGGGCTGGGCGGGGTCGTGAGCACCTGCCTGCTGCCTGGAGGTCTGGGTCAGGAGCAAGTGAGTGAAGGATGGCGGTGGTGGGCCTGTGCTGGCAGGCACCTGGGGTCCCTCTGTCTCTGCTGCTCTCAGGGGAGGGCCAGTGCGCTCGGACTGGCCCCCCCTCAGCTGGGGGAAGCCTGCTGCGCTCACGGCTCTCCCTCGCTGACCCTGTGCCTGGCCCCCCTCCTGCGGGCCTTGGGTGCCTTTTCTGGCAGCTGGGGAACGCCACAGGGCCACCAGCAGGGTCCAGGCCCTGGTGTTCCTATTTATCCACTGTGAGTTTGGGTTGGGGGGTCCCTTATGTTGGCAAGCCTAGACCTTCCCTGTGTCTGGGGGGGGGGTCTCCGTGCCCACAGGCCCGCCCTGCTGTGATTGTGGCCCAGCTAGGACTGCAGCCCAGTTTGGCCCCGCTTTGGGGACAGCACCCCACTGGGTTTGGGGCAGTGGTTATTGTGAGGATTTGTCCCAGCCCTGTCCTGCATCCAGATCTCTGTGCCCTCAGTTAGGAGCCCTCTCCTGGCATGCATCCTTCCAAGGGTGAGCCCTTCTGCTCCCCCTCATGGCTTTGAGGTTTTGTTGATAAGTGTAGCCCGTGGTTACTGTGTGGGGTTCCTGGGGGCAGTGCCTGGAGCTCCTGAGTTCCTGAGTGCCCAGCACACGGGGGTCAGGACCCCAGAATGAAGTCATATGAGTGATGGGACCAGGCTCCACATGGGGACCCAAGGCACCCCCATTTGAGGGGAGGATCCAGCTGCAGAGAGGAGGGAGTTGACCAAATGGGGAGTGGTCAGCCCCATTCCCAGGCACACCTGCTTGAGTTGGAGTCCTGGTGGCCAGGCCCAGGGGTCTGCCTTTCAGCCTGTCGCCAGCGATAAGTGGTAATCTCAGGGTTCCCCGTGAGCATGGGGCTTGACCCCTGACCTCACCCACTGTTGCGTCTGTGGCTCATCCCCACCAGGGCAGGTGTGTGGCCCGGTTCACTCTCACCACCCCCATTTCCCGGACCTGCAGTCCCACCCCCTCTCAAACTCCGCCACTTCCTAGGGTCGGGGTATGGGTGGGGCTCGGGTCGATGGGCATCACAGCCAAAATGCAGTCAGTGAATTAGTCTTCTCTGGGCCCTGGAAGGCTCCACCCAGGGCCACCCTGCGGGAGGGGGCAGGACGGGGGCCAGTTCCATGTGACTGGGAACAAGGGTGCACCCCTGGGTTTCATCCCCCGCCCTTTCTCCTGGCCTTGGCTCCCTGTCCCCCACATGGACCTGCGGGGAGCGAACACTTCAGGTGAGGTGAGGGTCCCCCGCCAATTGCCTTTGAGGGTCATGACGGCAGCGCACCTGCCTGGGGTGCCGGGTCTGGGCCCTTCTCTTCCTGGGGAGGAAACAGAGGTGCAGGACAGGGCTTCGAGTGGCCAGGTCATCCCAGCACACTGGCCCTTTCTTACAGCCCTCCGGCCTTGGGGAGTTAGGGAAGTCACACAGGAGGAACTGAGAAGTGTGTGCGGGGGCCCCGGGCTAGTCCGCATGGGCTTCCTGGAGGAAGGGGTGCTGGGCTGTAACTTGATGCAGAGAAGGGGTGCAGGCACGGTTGCAGATGGGAAAGGTCGTGGTGGGGGGCAGTGAGGTCAGGGCAGGGGAGCTGCAGGAGAGGGAAGGACTGACTTGCGACTTGAAAGCTTTCCCACCAGCTGCCAAGTGGGGAGGGAGCCATCCCGGCAGAAGGGGAGGCAGCTCCGGGTCAGGGTGGGTTTGGGGGGGTGCCCAGTGAGACGACGCTGCCACCCACAGGGAGGACACCGGGTGGGCGGGGGGCGGGGGCAGCGGCTCAGGGCCCAGGAGATGCAATGGAAGCCGCCGTGCCCCACGCTCCACCCTCCCTGGGGCTTTCTGACCTCAGTTCGCGAGCTCGGCTCTGCTTTTGCTCAAAGCCCTGGATGGGGCTGCTGTCCTTGGGGTCAGGGTGAGGCTGCCCCCCACCCCCAGAAGCCCCCTCCTGTCTCCCAGTGCTCCCTCCCGCCTAGCAGCCGAGCTGGTCCGGCTAACTTTGTATCTTCTGCTCCGGGAGAAGTTAGCAACACTGTTCTCTCTGTGCCGGCCTCTGTATTCGGAGAAACAATGTCCCTGTGTTGCTCCAGGCGCCCCAGAGTCGGGGGGGGGGGGGGGGCGTCTTCCAGACTCGTGGGCCAGACTCAAGATGTCTCAGAAGGCCCCGGGGGTGGGGGTGGGGGTATCAGACCTGCGGAGCGGCACCCCCATCGAAGCCCCTGCGTCTAACCCCACCCCACACGCGGACCCCCCCTGCACCCCCTCCACCAGGTCAGGGCCCCAGCCCAGCCAGTGACAAACCACAGACCTGTGTCTACGAGCGTCCCCTCAGATGGGGGGCACCGTCAGGGCCTCTGGAGGTGACCCGAGTTAGGGTGCAGGAGACCTGGGCTCCCCTTGGGCTGGGGAGGGTCAGTTGGTCAGGAGAAAATCCTAGGTCGTTTGTACAGTCTGACCCTGGGCTGTCCTGCCCGTCGGCTGGGGAGTTGGTGTGAGGGTCGTGCATTCGCGTCCTAGGAGTGACCTACCACACTGGATGTCTGGAAACCATAGAAACGAACGCTCCCCCAGATCCAAGGGCGGGAGTACAAAGTCAGGGTGTCGGCAGGGCCACGCTCCCTCCAGAGGCTCTGGAGACCACCTGTGCTGTCTAGTTTTCCCGGCTTCTGGCGGCCGGCAGACCTGGTGTCCCCATCTGTGGCTCCGTTTTCACAGGGTTGTCTGTCTTCTCTGTGTCTTTGTGTCCCTTCTCTTAGAAGGACACCTGTCACTGGATTCAGGGCCACCCTACTCCAGTACAACCTCCTGTTAACTAATTACACCTGTAAGACACTTTCAAATACGGTCCTGTTCACAAGTACCAGGTGGCCGTAAATTTCACTCTTCAGTCCACAATGGGTCCTCCTTGCCTTCTTGCCAAACCCACCACCACCTCCAAGTCTGGGACCGGAGAGGAAACGGAGAGCTGTGTGTTTGATAAAGCCCGGGGTGGGTAGGGCAGAGAAGTGGGGGCCCGCGTCCTCATTGTGTCTCCCCCCCCCCCCCCCCCACGACCCCAGGGTGCAAGATCAAGGCTCTGCGTGCTAAGACAAATACGTACATCAAGACGCCGGTGCGCGGGGAGGAGCCGGTGTTTATCGTGACTGGCCGCAAGGAGGACGTGGAGATGGCCAAGCGTGAGATCCTGTCCGCCGCCGAGCACTTCTCCGTGATCCGCGCCACGCGCAGCAAGGCCGGCGGGCTGCCCGGTGCTGCGCAGGGTCCGCCCAACCTGCCGGGACAGACCACCATCCAGGTGCGCGTGCCCTACCGCGTGGTGGGGCTGGTGGTGGGGCCCAAGGGCGCCACCATCAAGCGCATCCAGCAGCGGACGCACACGTACATCGTGACGCCCGGGCGCGACAAGGAGCCCGTGTTCGCCGTGACGGGCATGCCCGAGAACGTGGACCGGGCGCGCGAGGAGATCGAGGCGCACATCACGCTGCGCACGGGCGCCTTCACCGACGCGGGCCCCGACAGTGACTTCCATGCCAACGGCACTGACGTCTGTCTGGACCTGCTCGGAACGGCCGCCGGCCTCTGGGCCAAGGCCCCCAACCCCGGGCGGCGGCCCCCCGCGCCCACAGCCGGCCTCCGCGGGGATGGGACCCGGGGGGGCCCCGGGGGGCCCGAGGCCTTCTACGCGGGGGGCCGCGGGGGCCCGCCGGTGCCCGATGCGGGCCCTGCCAGCCCCTACGGAGGCTCGGGCAACGGGGGCTTCACCTTCGGCGGGGATGGCCCGGGGGCCCCGTCGGGGCCGCCCGCCCCCGAGGACTGTGACTTCGGCTTCGACTTCCTGGCGCTGGACCTGACCGTGCCCGCCGCGGCCACCATCTGGGCCCCCTTCGAGCGGGCCGCGCCGCTGCCGGCCTTCAGCAGCTGCTCGGCGGTCAACGGGGCCCCCGCGCCACCCGCCCCGGGCGCCCGGCGCAGCAGCGGGGCCGGCACGCCGCGCCACTCGCCCACGCTGCCCGAGCCCGGGGGCCTGGCCCTGGAGCTCCCGCTGGGCCGCCGCGGCGCCCCGGACCCGGTGGGCGCCCTGGCCTGGCGGCCGGCGCAGGGCGCCCTGTCGTCCTTCTCCGGCGGCGCCGGCTTCTCCGCGGCCACCTCGCTGCCCAGCGGTTCCTCGGCCTCTGCGTGCCCCCCCCTGGACTCCAGTGCCTCCGAGGGCGGCCGCAAGCCGCCGGGGGCCGTGTCGCCGGCCGCCCCGCCCCCCGCCGCCGCCGCCCCCCGCCCCGGCCTTGGCGCGGGAGTGCGTGGTGTGCGCCGAGGGCGAGGTGATGGCCGCGCTCGTGCCCTGCGGCCACAACCTCTTCTGCATGGACTGCGCCGTCCGCATCTGCGGCAAGAGCGAGCCCGAGTGCCCGGCCTGCCGCACGCCTGCCACCCAGGCCATTCATATCTTTTCCTAGCGGCTCGGCTGGCCGCCGCAGGCCCGGGGGGCGGCGCGGAGGGGGCGGCGCGGCGGGGGCGGCGGGGCCAGCATTCACAGACGAGCTTTAACCTGGTCCCAGGCGTGGAGACGGCTGCCCGACGGCATCTCAGTTCTTAACGAATAAACAGTATTGAGTCGACAGGTTAAAATAAAACAGAGAAAAGGTCTGCTTGCACTTTTTATTTAAGACTCCCCGCCCCCCAGGGTGATCTTTTTAAGAAAAAAAAAAAAAAAAATATATATATATATATATATATACACACACACGATTTTTACAACTCCCCGTTGTCCTTTGGGACTTGGATTTCTGACTTGACAGCCCTGGCTTCGGAGGTGGCCGCAGCCTCTGTGAATCCCCTCCAGGAGAATGGCGACATTTTTACTCCCTCTCGGGGGGCTAACCTGTTACCCTTTTGTATGTCGGTGGGGGGCGGGACAGGCTGGAGGGGGCGGGGTGGGGGGGCAGGGGAGGACCCAACCAGAAATTTCTAACTTTTTGTTTTTAATTATTAATCCCCTTCTGCTGTGGTTTCTTTTGTCAGTTTTTAAATTTTTTTAAATTGTGTTTTTTTTAAACTTTTACTTTTTACCTCTTGTGTATATGTAGGGAATTTATAGGGAAATATGTACTTTATGGAATAAATTTTAAGAACTAAAATATATTTTATTTTAAATAAAGTAATGGACCTTTAATCTTACACAGCTAAATTACTGATTATATATTTGCTGAGCTGACTTAAGGGTTCAGAAAATTGTATCAAGAGTTTTATTTTTTGACTTCAAAGCCTTCTTAATAAAGTCTTTTTACTACACGTGAGCCCTTGGCGTGGTGTGGGGCGGGTGGGCATGGGAGAGGGAGGACCGGGGGAGGGGTGCTCAGAGCTAGCCCCCTCACCCCCTAATCTTCCAGATAAAGGAATTTGGACTCAGGATACCCCATGCCCAAGCCCAGGCTCTTCTAAAAGCCCGGCACTCTGCCTAGTTCCAGATGAGGCATTGGGTCTGGAGGGGAAGGTGGTGCAGCCAGACCCGCCCTTTTCTTGAGGCTCAGGTCCCCTACATTCCAGGGGCCAGACAACCATGGGGCCAGCTGTGGCCACTGTGGAGGGAGGGGTACCAGGCTCTGGTGTGTTTGGGAGGGGACTCCCAGTCCCGTTGTGCAGAATGGGAAACTGAGGTCTGGAAATCCCACTCCCAGATGGGTTCTAACACCTCCCAATCTCCGAAGGACATGTGAGTGATGACCACACATGCCCTCCCTCCCTCACCAGGTCTAGTTGGGAGCAGAGGACCATGCCCATGGGGCCACTGGACAATTCAGGGCGGGGTTGGCCCTGGAGTCAGGTCTGTGGGATTATGGGTTGAACCACCTGCAGTCAGCAGGTGCCACCAAAGTTCCCAAGGAGGGGAAGAAAGCTCTGGAGTGAGTGGAGGCATGGGACAAGCTGGGGAGCCAGGGGCCCATAGGCTGCTGGCTTGAGTGGGCACTGAGGAGGGGTCTGCAGAACACAGCCTGCTAGGAAAACTAGGAAGGCATGGTGGAGCAACCGGGAGGGCCTCCAAGAGGAGGCGAGGGGGTCAGGAAGACAGGTCAGGTGGGGCAACAGGAGGGGGCAGATGGATGGGGCACCCCATGGGCCTTGTCTCCAGTGAGTGGTGGCCACGTCAGCCTCTCCAGCTGAGTAGCAGCCCCTGGAGGCTGCAGGACCTGGGGTGAGTCTCAAAGAGCCACACATACCTGGGGTTCCAGCCCACTCTGGCTGGAGTTACCCCATCTGTGAAACGGGGATACTCCACACTTCCAGCTCTGGTGAAGATCGTGGGTGGAGCAGTTGAATCATGGCCCCGGAACCTGTGAATGGACCTTATTCGGAAAAAGGGCCTTTGCAGATATAATTAAGGATCTTGAGGTGAGCTCCTCCTAAATGAGGGTGGGCCCTAAGTCTAATGACAAGTGTCCTTATAAAAGACCTGGAGAGGGGGATTCAAGACTCAGACACAGAGAGAAAATGGAGGCAAGCCCAGCGGCGCCTGGAGCCCCCAGAAGCTGGAAGAGGCAGGGAGGACCTTCTCCTGGAGCCTCCAGAGGAAGCCAACAGTGGGGGAACAGATGCCTGTTGTTTTAAGCCACCGGCTTTGTGGCAATTTGTTACAGCAGGCCACGGGAACCAGTGCGGGTCTGTGGGCAACATGGAACCTGGGGTCTGGCCCACAGTTCAGTGGCGGGGGGGTGGGGTGGACACGGCTGCCGTGACACCTGATGAGCTGGGGTGAAGTTAGACCATAGCCCTCACCCTGCAGGAGGTTATGGAGGCAGTGGAGGTGAGTGTGGAGACCACCCCCCTGACATTTTGGACATAAAGAGAAAGAGAAAGCAGTCCCTGGAGGGGCTGAGGGGTCGAGGGAAAGACAGGACATCAAGGGGGTTGAAAGTCCTTGGGAAGGAGGTGGGGGCTGGAGCCCAAGCAAGGGGTTTCTGTAAGATGCAATGGGGGAGGGCCTGATCTGAGGACATTCTGTCTTAGAATGGTCCAGAAATGTCTGAGGGATGTGCTCGCTCCCTACTGAGCCGATCATCAGGAGGCCAGAGTTGCTGGTGCCCTTGGGGAAAGCTGACAGATGGCCAGAGGTGGACTCTCAAGCTGGCCATTTGAGGCCCTGGATCCAGCTGTGCCTGAAGGCAGACCATCCCAACCTCTCAGCTATGAGTGCCAGTAAACTCTCCTGTTTTGCTTAAGCCAGTGTAAGCTGGAGTAACTCAAATTCATAACCACCTACAGAGACCATATTCCTGGCCAGAGAGCTGGGGAGCATTTCCTGGGGCGAGAGGTGCTCAGCAAAAGCAAAGCAAATACCCTGTGCATTTAGCTTCTTCACAACTAGACACACTCAGGGAAGCCAAAGTCTGAGGCAAGCTTCCGTTGCCCTTATTACTCGTCTCTCTTGGTTCATGGGCTCAGCACATCGAGGTGACCCTTGTCCAGTGTCTTCTGAGAAGGTCTTTATTCTGGGTCTCATCAGATTTCAGGGAGATGATGAAGGATAAGCCCGTAGTTCTCCCATCTGTGAGATTGAGCCACGCACAAAGTGGGCTCAGTGTGGGAATGCTATGTCACCTGCATGACCATGTGTATCCCTGGCAAGTCCCTGGGACAGGAATGATATGTCACCTCATGCCCACCATGTGTAGGGAAAACCAGGAGCTCTAGAGACAGACATCGGAGTCCCATCCTGGCCGACCACTTTCCTGCTTCATGCCCCTGGGCATGTTATCTCCCTGGCCTCAGTTTTCTTATCTTAATCATCTGCAGCTGAGTACAAAGCCTGGCAGATGTTAAATGCTGGTCTGTAGTAGTCCCCACCCTCCATCTCTGCCCTCAGCTGAATACACTCTGGAGGGGATCAATTCAGATATAACCCTTTGAGGCCAGGAAAATCCCAAAAAACTGAACAGGAGAAGAACAAACAGTGCCTGGAAACTGGAAGATGCTCAGTATTTGTTGGGTGGATGGATGAATAGATAGATGGTGAGTGAATGTATGAATAGATGATGGATAGTGAGTGGATGGATAGATGATGGGTGAATGGATGATGGATGGATGGATGGATGGATGGATGGATGGATGGATGATAGATGGATAATGGGTGGATGATGGATGGATGGATGGATGATGGATGGACAGATGGATGGATGGATGATGGAGGATGGATGGATGGATGATGGATAGATGGGTGATGGATGATGGATGGATGATGGATGGATGGATGATGAATAGATGGGTAATGGATGGATGGATGATGGATGGATGGATGGACAATGGACGGACAGATGGTTGGATGGATGGATGATGGGTAATGGGTGGATGATGGATGGATGGATGGATGGGTGGATGATGGATGGATGGATGATGGATAGATGGGTAATGGGTGGATGGATGATGAATGGATGGATGGACGGACAGATGGTTGGACGGATGGTTGATGGGTAATGGGTGGATGGATGATGAATGGATGGATGGATGGATGGATGGATGGATGGATGGATGGATGATGGATAGATGGGTAATGGATGGATGGATGATGGATGGATGGATGATGGATGGACAGATGGTTGGAGGGATGGATGATGGATAATGGGTGGATGATGGATGGATGGATGATGGATGGATGATGGATAGATGGGTAATGGATGGATGGATGATGGATGGATGGACAGATGGTTGGATGGATGGTTGATGGATAATGGGTGGATGATGGATAGATGGATGGATGGATGAATGGATGGATGACAGACGGACAGATGGTTGGATGGATGGATGATGGATAATGAGTGGATGATGGATGGATGGATGGATGATGGAAGGATGGATGGATGATGGATGGATGCATAATGGATGGATGGATGACAGATGGACGGATGGATGATGGATGGATGATGGACAGACAGATGGTTGGATGGATGGATAATGAGTGGATAATGGATGGATGGATGATGGATGGATGGATGAATGAATGATGGATGGGTGAATGATGGATGGGTGGATGATGGATGGATGGTAATGGATGATGGATGGATAGATGGATGGATGGATGATGGGTTGATGACGGATGGATGATAGATGGATGATGCGTGGATAAGTCAGAACTTCAGAGGAGGAGAGATGAATTCTACTTGGAAATTCAGGGGAAGGTTAGATAGAGGGGTTGATTGGCCGGGGGGGACAGTGTGGCAAAGACTTGGAAGTGATATGGGATCACTGGTCACATTCAGGGAACAAAGAGTAGTCAGAGGGACAGGTTAAACTAATAGGAGACAAGGTTGAAATGCTTAATTGGAACATGGCCTTGGAGCTCCTTCCATCTCATCCACCCCAGTCAGGTCTTTCAGGGCAGCCCCCATTTTTGCTACAGCCTGCCTCGTCCCTGGAGCCTCCCCTATACAAGGGGAAAGCCACACCAGCCCCTGCTGGCCTTCAGTGGATGGCTGATGGCTCCTACATTGGATGACGGCTCCTACATTGAACAGCATCACTCTAGAATGTTCCGGTCCAGCATCGTCTAATAATGGGACCATGATGGGAATGTTCTAGATCTGCACTCTCCATTACAAGATCTGCCAGCCACACCAAGTGATTGGACATCTGAAATGTGGCTTGTGCAATTCAGAAACCAAACTTTTAATTTTGTTTTAATTAAATTTAAATAGCCACAGGGGCGCCTGGGAGGCTCAGTTGGTTAAACGACTATCTTCGGCTCAGGTCATGATCCTGGAGTCCCGGGATCGAGTCCCACATCGGGCTCCCTGCTCAGCGGGGGGTCTGCTTCCCCCTCTGCCCTCTTCCCTCTCGTGCTCTCTGTCTCTCATTCTCTCTCTCTCAAATAAATAAATAAAATCTTAAAAAAAATTTTTTTAATAGCCACAGACAAAAAAGGGAAAGCATCTAGGGAAAGTACTTGGCTATGCAAACTTTGAAATACTTTTAGTCCAGGGAAGCAGGAAGGCCAGAGTGCCTAGAAATTGTGGTAGTGTGTGTGTGCAGAGGTCCTGATCAGAGTGTCCCTAAAACAACAAAGGCCATGGAGGAGGGGGGTGACCCTGGGTTCCCAGGGGGCCCGGCGTCCTCACGAGGTCCTCACGAGGGGGAGGCAGAGGGTGGGAGTCCCGGAGATGGGCAGACCCTGCACTGCTGGCGGTGAGGATGGAGGGGGGGCCGCGGGCTAGGAAAAGGCAGGAGCTGGGTCTCCCTGGGGCCCTGGGAGGGGACAAGCCCTGCCCACGCCGGGGTTTTAGGACTTCTGAACCCAGATTGTCAGAGA